GAGGCCTCGAGATGAGGATGCGAAGATGACTGGCGCACGACAGCGGTCCGAACGAAGGTGGTGGCAGGGGTGGAGGTGCTGTGGAGTTCCCCAGCTAGATCCAACTTCGTGCCCACCACGAGGATGGGAACGACAGGAGAAAGAGACACCGGCGGTGGAGTGCTGTCTCTCCAGAATCCGCGGATGTCAAAGGAGGGATAGGTCGTGGCAGCTCTGTCATTAGATGTTGCGTCTGGAGAGGTGCAGCCATTCGCAGAATGACAAACAACTTCGAGACTACAAGTGGCGATAAGCAGCGCAAGGGAGGTCAGATGTGCATCAATCTCTACATAATCAGATTACGCAGCAGCAAGGCACAAGTGGTCTGGTCATCTTTTGAAAAGGAACGTGAACTAATAACAGGAATGCAGAGTTCGAACGAGGCGCGAACACATTGTCTACAGACAGCCGTCAGAAGATCCTCGTTCACATAGGTAATGGACAACTGTGGCCCGCATGAGTGAAGGTCAACCAGTAGTAACTGGCTCTACCGTCTGCCAATTCGACTGGTTCATTTTAGATAAGCACGTACAGACTTGGAAATTTTTGACAGGGAAAGGAGAGTAATTTGAAAGAGGAGCAGTCACTTACGAATCTGTAGCTGTGAGTTCGTTCAGCCAATTGGATAGATGCAGTTCAGACTTTTTGTTGGTGAGGTCATGGACCAAAATGATTCCCTGGATATTGTCATAGAAGACGTAGCGTGCATTCTTGTGACCGGCGGAGCCGCCGATGTCCCAGAGTTCGATAAAGTACTTTTGTGTATCACCTGCAGGTGGGCCATCGTAGAGCTGTGTGTTGATGAGAGTTTGGTAGGAGAAGGTGAAGGCTTACCATAATTTCGACGCCACAGCCCACCGTCCAGGAGGGGTTCAGAAGGGCCTCTTTTTGACTGATCAAATGGACAAATGCGGTCTTGCCGACACCGGAGTCGCCAGCCACGGCTATTTTAACTCGTCCGAAATTCTGCATGTCGCTGGTCTGAATGGCAAGAGAAACGTGCAATCGCATGGGTGCATGACACGTACGAATGCTAAAACTGTGTTGGTAGCAAGTTCACTTCCATCCTAGGCGAAGGCGGCAATGGGCAGAAATGACGTGAACTCCACAAATTGCTAGTTCAAAAGTAATACTGACGTTGTGTGACGTGTCGCTTCTTATTCACGTGAGTTTGTGTTGACTGTCAGACCTGAAGATTTGGTCGACTCTCCAGTCTGGACAATCACCAACCATCTGCAGTTGCGAGAGACAACCATCGGAATGGAAGACAGCAGATATTTCTTCGATATACAACTCTGGGACCCGATCCGGTTAACCTGGCAGGCAACGTAGTAGGTGAAGGTTCGATCCGCATCGAAACCACCTCCCCGGCGACCGTAAATCGCTAAATCATATTCCTGAATACTAATGCGCAGAGTATGTTATCTAAACTCGATGAGCTAAAGATCCATCTCTCTGAATCACTTCCAGATGCAATCTCACGGACAAAAACGTGGTTGCCACAACGCGTGAATGACAAGGAGTAAACTGTACCCGGGTACCAGCTGTTTAGAAGAGACTGACCAGTACGTCAGGGAGAAGGCGTACTCACGTACGCAAAACATGGGTTTATGGTTCGTGTTTACTTCCGAGGCAATTCGGCTAATTATTCAAGCACCGGGTTCACCAAGCCTTCACGTCCTGACAGTGCCGACCGCCGAGAAATGATCCCACGGCTGACGTACGTCTGCTTGCGAACCTAGGAAGATTTGCTAGTCGGTCTGACGCCCTAATCATGGGAGACTTGAATGTGCCTCTTATTGGTTGGAGTTCAATTTACGCATCTGGTCCAGACCATGCTTTTGGCCGATGTTTGCCTGACATGACGCTCAAGTTATACCTCACTCAGCACGTCTTGTTTCCGACGAGAATGTGTGAAGGAAACAGTCAAACTGCCTGGATTTGGTGTTTACGAAGTCTCTGGGCAGC